GTTTTCATCACCTTGGTTGTTGTTTTTACTTGGTTTACTATTTGGTAAATATGGCATGTTTGCTGTTTCTGCTTCTACAATAGGAGTTTTTTCTTGTTCAGATGACAAGTCAAAGTCCTTTTTTTTGGCTCTAGTGTCAAGAAGTTTTGGTCTCTTGAGTATCAAGCTGCTCATGTTTGACAGAAATAAGTTTCTTTTCTTGAGTATAAGGGCTTTAGCCCTACCAGAAGAGTTTAAAAAAAAGTTTTTATTTAGTTTTTGTGAAATTTTGTTATTTTTGTGTTGTTACCGAAAGTGTACCAGAAAGAGTTTTTTTCTTTATTGTTTTTTTTTGAACCATGTTTTGAAATAGGGATACTAGTTATGTTTTCCTTAAAGGTTAAGTCCTGATCATCTATAGTATTGATTGAGTCATTTTCTTTTAGGTAATTAGGATTTGGTACATTAGTGTTTGGTCCATCTTGTTCTGTGACCATGTCTGAGATATATGAATTTTTTGGACTGTAGGATATATTTTTTGTTTGCATTTTTTGGTTAAGTTTGTTTGTTTCCATTAAGGATTTCTTTTGTTCTTTTTGTAACTGTCTTAGTTCCATTGAAGCTCTAAGTTCTGCACATTCTTTTTTAATATGTCCTGTTTTTTTACAGTAATAACATATTTTTGAAGCCTCCTTCCAGTCTGTAGTGACTTTTTGATCACTGACATGTGTGTGTCTAGGTAGTCTGGCCATCAGGTTTGGATCATTTGATATTTCAAAAGTTACAATCCATTGGTCAAATCATATTGGGGTTCCTTCATATAGAAGTGGTTTTATAGAGGCAATGGTGCTGATATCCTGAAAAGCTTCCTTAATCTGTTCATTGATAACTTCTTTATTGCCCATTGGTGTGTTCTTCAATTTAACTGAAAGGAATATATGCTTAAGATTAACTGGGACATATCCAAAGAATGTTTGTTTAAACATTGTAATCCCTTCTGAAGCATACAGTTGTTGTTTGTCTTTATCTGAGAAGGCTATTTCTAAGAGAGCCCATCTGTCTCTGATAATGTGAGTTTTTGCTGCTAGTATATCTTCTCCTAGTTTGATGTAAAGGGTTGAGATAATGTCATTAGTAGGTATGTTGGTAAGCTCAGAAATGTCAAAAACAAGAGCATTTTCATTCTTAGAATAGATCTTGTTTCTGGATGCTGTGTTAGAGAAGGTTGCCTTGCCTCCTTTTAGCTTTGAGAATAAATCTGACTATTGCTTGGATTTGTTGTTAGCTGGTTTGTCATTTACATCATCTGATGTTGTGCTATCAACGATTTTGTCTTGTGTATCAATTTTGTCATATGTGATATGCATGTGTTTTGTATCTGTTTGTTTGTTGTTTTCTGTATTTGCTACTGCACATGTCTTGTTGTTTTTTATCTTGTTGTTTTTACTTGTAGAAGAAGTAGCTTTTTGTTTGCCTTTACCAACTGATTTTTCTTCTTGTTCTATGTTACTGGCCCAGTTTTTATCGGCTTGGTTGTTGCTTTTACTTGGTTTACTGCTGTTTCTGCTTCTACAATAAGAGTTTTTTCTTGTTTTGATGACAAGTCAAAGTCCTTTTTTTTGGCTCTGGTGTCAAGAAGTTTTGGTCTTTTGGGTATCAAGCTGCTTATGTTTGACAGAAATAAGTTTCTTTTCTTGAGTATAAGGGCTTTAGCCCTACCAGAGGAGTTTTAAAAAAAGTTTTTATTTAGTTTTTGTGAAATTTTATTGTTTTTGTATCATTACTAAAAGTGTATCAGAAAGAGTTTTTTTTTTCTGTATCGACTTAGCTTATGTTATAGTATTATTGTTTTCTAGTACATTCAATGTGCAAAATATTTTTGTCTACTTGGTCAGTAAGCTATATAATTTTTTAACCTAATTTACATAGAATAAAAAAGATAAAATAATAATTTATGATTAGAATAAGAGAACTGCTATTCACACTATTGATTTTTATAGATAATGCATATAGTATGTAAATTATAACCAGAATAGTAGAAATAATAATTACTTGCTTGCTGAGATTTTTATCACTTATCCTTAATATAGAGTATATGATTATTTTTTTTACTTTTTTTGAATTTGGAATGAATGTTCTGTCAGCATTCTATTAGAGCCTGTTCAATATTACTTTTTGAAACTTTATCCAAATAGAAGCCACTATTATTAATTATGTTGTTATAGAATAAATTTCTATTATTATTATATTATTATTATTATATTATTATCTTAGTATATTATTATTTCTATTATTGTATTATTTATT